CCCCCGAGAGGAACACGAAGAACTGGGGCTGAGGCAGGATGATCTGAGCCCCAGAAGGCCAGACGGCAGGACGTGGCAAGTGGGGGCGGGACCCCGCTCAGCGGCCACGCCCACCCACTGGGTACCTGCTGCTCCTGCAGTTGCCGGATGGTGCACTGCGCCTTCTGCAGGTCCTCAGCGGCAGAGCTGCACTGCTGCCGCACAACCGCCAGCTCCCGTTTGATGACATAGTTCTCTTCGGCCTCCTGCGCCCGTGTCACCTGCCCCTAAGCACAGAGGATGGGGGAACCGTGACCCTCTGCTTCCATCCCAGGCCCTGCCTTGGGTCACAGGGAGGTCCAGAGAGGGTGGAGGACTGGGAAAGTGAGAGACCTCCTGTACTCAGAGCCTGGGATGGGGGTGTCCCACCTGGGCCTGGGGATGCAGCTGGTGGAGACAGGCAGAACTGGACACCTGAAACTCCCCAGGTTCTGCCAGGATTAAATGGGGAATGGGGATCCCATGCTGGGCTGCACACTGCTCCTTCCCCTCCCCAGTTCTGGCAGGGCCTGGTCCTTAACCAGAGCCACTGGCACAGCAGTGGCTAAGTTCATGTCAAGGTAGATTCTGGAGGCAGCCAAGGTGTCAGTGGCTCAGGATTTAGTTCCCCCGACAGAGCCAGCTGTTTTCACACTGCTGGGAGGTAGAATACACCTCTCCCTGGGGTCTCTGCCTACCTGGGGTAAGACCCCCCCACCCCATCCTCTCCCCCACCCAATTTGGGCCTCCCATTCCAGGCTCGGAGCCATCTGGTGGTATGCAGAAGCTTCCAGATAAAGCCATTCAAGATGAAGCAGCAGCAGAAGCAGGTGAGAGAAGGCAATGGGCTTGGCAGGTAGGAGCAGAGGAGCAGGGTGAGGGGCCAGGAGGGTTGTATGAGTATGTAAATGTGTGTGTGCACGCACCAGAACTGAAACTGATATGCTTGTAGAGTCCTGAGCACTCCTGGGACCCACCTGTGTGGGGAAGTTTTGTGTCTGCGCATGTGTGCGTGCATGTTGCATATGTGTATGTAAGTTCATGCCTCAATGCACTCACAGACATGCCCCCCCATTTCTGTCCACCTCACATGCTCCCCTCCCAGGAAAGCCTCTGTCTCCCTGCACACAGGCCCCAGCTGCCCCCATGCATGGTGCCAGGCCTGCTCCCTTGCCCCCAGAGTGGCAGCAGCCAGGGAAGGGGTGGTTACTTGCTGTCATGTTCAGGGACCAGGGAAGGGGCCAGGGAGGAAACTGGAGAGGAGACAAAAAGCTACAGTACCTGGATTAACCTATCAGCCAGAGCAGCGCTCTCCTACCCGGCGGGCGAAGGGGGGTCCGAGCAACAGGGGAAGGAGGCAGAGCAGAATGCACAGGGACAGGAGAGGGGAGAGACAGACAAGAACCACTTGTCACTAATGCAGTGGACTATCTCTAGAAGCAGGGGAGAGAGGAGTGAAGACCAGAGAACCAGCAGGAGAGGACCCGGAGGAAGACCAAAGCCAGAGCCAGCTCCGTCCTGGAGAGGGGTTTGTGTGAGCTGAGAGGTCAGGGTGCCTGCGGCTGTTGGGAGGCCATAGGACTGAGGCCAACTGGGAAACTCAGCAACAGAGAGTGTTACCTTACTGTAAGTGAGGAAGAGCCTTCCTGAGAGGGCTGGGACCAAGCACGTGTTTTAATTTTGAGGGAGAATAGGAATTGAGGCTTTGGGCCAAGGGCAGTAAAGTCCTGTTCACTCCCTGTGGTCAGTGGAGGGTTAAGTGAGCATGACAGAGGAGCAGGAAGTGGGGACCCTAGAGCTGGAACTATGGTAAACAATCAAACCACTCCCATCTTTATCACAGTGGGGTACAGGGTTGAGGCCATAGCTCCCCACCACAAATGACAAGGCTGGCCCCTCCTCCTCCTCTATCCCATCTCCTTTCCTTTCCTTCCAGGGTGAGGTTTCCAAATTATGGGGTGGGTGCCTTGTGGCCCAATGACAGGGCTCCTCTGCCAGTCCAAGGGTTCTGCCTCCTTTCCCCACCTTTGGATTGCTGTCCACTTTGATTGCTGTCCACTGACTTGTAACTCAGCCCCAATTCTATGGTTAATCACAACGTGAGCTAGGAACCAGGGACTCTCTCTAGAGTCCCCCAGTGATGACAGGGCAGCCCAAATCTCAGTGGGGCTCAGGGTGGGGAGTTGAGCCTGGCTTCTGAAGCCAGCTGGTCTAGGGTGTGACCTTGGCCCTAGTCCTAAAGGCTGCTGGACCCTGCAAGAGGTCTGGAAATTTGGAGCCCTGTTGGCGGCCACGCCCCTCACCTTCTCCAGGGTCTCAATCCGCTGTTTCAGAAGCCGGTTCTCTGTTCGAAGCCTCTATGGGGAGAGAGATCACATCAGTGCCTGTGCCCCACTCCTGCAGACACTTACCCCCCCCCCCCGATTCACCCACCATTGAGGTCAGGTTGGTCCCTTTAGGAGCCAGACCACCTCCAGGTAGGACTGGCCCAGTCTCATGTTCTGGGTCAGCAGTTTCAGAAAACAGGGCCCATTCCTGTTCAGAAAGGCCCACTTTGAAAAACAAACCTTCAGTAAAAATAACGTGGCATGCTTTCATGACTGTCTGGTGGGGGGGTGCTGTGATCAGCACCTCTTTCCTTCCCAGGAGTCTGTTTCCAGACCATGCCTGGGTCTGTCAAGGGCAGAGGCCTCTGTGTTTCTCAGAAAGCAGCTGTCAGACAGCCCCTGCCCCCCACCTTGCTTTGCTCCCAGCTCCTGGGTCAGATTCTCCAGAACAAACTCTTTGTGTGTGTGTGTGTTGGGGGTGGGGACTGGAGTTTGAATTTAGGACTTCTCTTTTGCAAAACAGGTACTCCACTGCTTGAGCCACGCCTCCAGTCCATTTTGCCCTGGTTATTTTGGAAATGGGATCTCTCAAACTATTTGTCTGGACTGGCCTTGAACCATAAACTTCTTGATCTCAGTCTCCTAGGCAAATCTGGGATTACAGATGTAAGGCGCCATAATGTGCCTCTCTTTGTAGTCCGGGTTGGCCTGGAATTCATGATCCTTCTGCCTCCTTCTCCTGAGTGATGGAATTTCAGGCCTGGGCCACCATGCTGTTCCGTGTTGGTGGAATGTGGGTAGGTGTCTGTGGTTTGATGTCCCCCATGACCCTCTGGGAAGCAAGTGACACTTATATAAATGTTGTACCTAGTGTCCCCTGGATCCTGGTTATGAAGAAATAGTTTGGATCAGGTGATTGAGGGTCCTGCCTTGCTGTGGTCACACGAACATTTCCTGAGTTGCTTCTGGGGGAGAAATGGTGATGGGAACACCCAGAACACTCCTAAGAAGCAACTGCAGTCAGCAAATAATGGGTTTGATGGTCATTAATTCAGGTCATAGAAAGGGAAACTGGATCAAGAGCAGGACAGGGCCCTGTTCACAGCCAGGTCAGACCTATTTCAGGCACAGGATTAGGACCCCTGACCCATGGAATGCTCCACCCTCTTTGGCCTCAATTGGTCATTGCACCAAGTAGAGCCATCCTTGGAGGAGTTGGACAGGCCTGACCAACAAATGCTCTATTTCTGCTTATGCCAAAGGGAAAACAAGAGAGGAAGAATGAGTAAAGAGTGTGTGAGGCTATATATTTTTCATGGTTTAAATATTTTTTTCTGTATTTTATAATGTTTTGATACCCCAGGGTCTTTCTAATTCTGAAGAGACTCTCCCCCCGCCCCCCTCCCCCCGGAAACTATCTTATTCCTAGATAGCAGAAGGCACATTTCATATACAAATCAACCAGCCCAGAGTCCCAAATACGAACCACCGCTTTTATCTAATATTCACACACCAAGCTGATATCTTCCCTGTATACCACCCCAGGGTCAGTACTAGAAACTGGGGAATCGTCCAGAGCTGCAGAAATTATTCAAACTGTCCAGTCCTGAGTCTTTTCAAACTTGTCTCTCCTGACTGACTTGTTCCTTCCTGTGAAGGCCACACCAAAGATCTGGCCTACACTTTCCCCTTGCTGTCTCTGCCTGGCATAGCCTGCCCCCTCCTCTTGGGAACTGTAATAAACTCTTCTTTCAAAGGTAGTGGTCTCTGTTATCTTGTTTTACCTGATTAAAACAAATCTCTGACACATTTTAAAACAGGTTAACAGGTCCTTCTCCTAGAACTCCACAAGAAGGCATCTACCTGACCCTTAAAGTTCCTTTCAGGAATTTTTCAGGCTGGCCAGTGGCCCTAGGTGTGTGGCATCCTTGTATACTACTGGGTCTTCGGGGTCACCAGATGAGAGCAGGCCCTTGTCTGTACATGAGAAATCACATGTTGGGACTGGTGTATCACTCAAGTTGCCATTCCTGAGAAATGGAGACACTAAAAAACCCAGGATACAAAATGATTTCTGGAAGCCCTAGGAACAAGGCCAGGCCAATGGGCATCAGGTGACCAGGATTCTAATCTAAGTTCTGCCCCTGCCTTTCTATAGGAGGTGGAGATGGTGGGGATGATGTTGATGGTAACAATTTTCAAGGCAGAACAAAATACCGCATTTTGCCGATGGGGCCACTGAGGTTCACACAGGTGAATTCACATGCCAGGTCCACACAGTTGGCCCTTGGTGTAACTGGGATTTGAACTCTAGTCTGTTAGATTCCAGTTTTAGCCATTGTGTAACTCTGCCCTTGAGGATGACAGAACCAGTCTGTGTGGGGATCTGTATCCCTGACTGTCCCCTGTACTGGGCCAGAGGGCCCTCATTCATAGTTATAATCTTGATACCCAGCAAATGCTCTATAAATGCTTGTGGAATGAATAACTAAAATCGTGTGGAAGGGTGAAGCAGAAGGAAGGCAAGAGAGGGAGCCTGGGCTCAGAGGCTTTACATGTTTAGGGAACCATTTGGTTCAGTGGTGCTGGTAGGCCAGACTCCAGGGGAACCAAGTGGGGCACCGACACCCTGGCCTACATACCCTGGAATCTGGCTTCTGCAGGCCTTGGCTCTCCTGCCCACCAGGCATGCTGCTACCTTGGGCCTTTTGCACTGGACTCCTGGCCTGGAGTGTCTCCCCAGACCCATCTGGCCCTCACCTCCACATCTGCATCCAGAGCACTCTGTAGAGTCCATACTATTTTAGTGATTTATTGACTGTCTCCCCATGACACCGAGGTGGGGGCACAAGGGCAGGGACCTTGGCTGTCTTGTTTACTGTTGTGTCTCCAGCTCTGAGAACATGCCAGCCGGGGCAGGTGCTCCCACGCTGGCCTGGCAGGTGAAGGAAGGGGCAGGTGGGTGGAGGACCATTGAAGCCTGAGGCTGGCAGCCAAGAAAGCTGTGCGCTGGGCGGGGCCGCCCTCTAGCGGCCATCTCTGAAGTTGGAAGGGGAGCCCAAGGGCACTTGTCCTTGCCCCCACCCCACCCCCTGACCCAGAACTCACTTTGATCTCAATTTGTTCCTCCATCTCCTTGCTCTTCATGGCTGCATACTCCTTCTCCAGCCTGTAAAAGGGAAGCGTCTGTGAGGTAGGTCAATCTTTCCCCTTTCCCCACCTCAGGGCCTTTCCCCTCTCCAGGAGCAGATGCCTGGCACTGACCTCTTCATCTTCTTGGGGTTGTACTTGACCTGGTATGCCTTGAGGACCAGCTTATCTGGGCAGCTGTCAAACTGGTGGGGGATCACCCTCTGGAAGTACTGTGGGTACATAGGTAGTCACCACCATGTAGGCCCTGACCACCAGGGCCACCTGAGTCCCTGCTGTGTGCTCTTGCTGGGGCCTTGCTGCCATGTCCCCAGCACAGGGCCTTGCCTTTTGTGGCCAGTCAGTCAGTATTTGTGGAGCAAATGAATGACTGAGTGTGAGCAGCAAAAATGGGGAGAAGGGAGGGCCAACTTTCACAGGATGCCTGTGGCCAGGGCTTCTTTCTGGAGAAAATCAGGCTCAGGGAGCTCCTGAGGGTCAAGGTTGGGGTGTGTGTGGTGTCTGGACACAGGAAACCTTCATGGAAGTAGGGGTGGGAAAGCTGAGGCCCCTGAAGCCTCCACAAAGGGTTAAGGTAAGCCACAGTAGACATAGCTCCTGTCCTTTCAGCGCAGTGGGCCCCCTCTGGAAGTTGTAGACAATGGATGCCCGTGTTTGGGGACACAACTGTAGCCTTTGTGCATTCTTCCCTGAAGCACCAGCTGGAGGACGCTGGGAGGGGGCAGGGGCCTGTGTGATGGGCGAATGGCGGGGAGATGCAAGCTGGCCTCTGCTCCAGCAGGCAGGGCAGGCCCAGGTGGGCCAGGGTGGGAAGCTGCCCTTGTTCCCTCTTGTGCCCTCGCCTGGCTAGGGGACTGGGGTGAAAACATATCCAAAGCTTCTAGGTTTGGCCAGGGTTACTCGGCCAGCAGGCGTTGGGGACCTGGAGCAGTGTGGACTGCGGGGGGGTGGGGGGAGGAGGGAAGGGACCTCCTAGGGCTCTACTGGGCCTAGTCCTTCCTCCTCACTGCCAGGATGCTGGTCCTGAACTGAGTATGGAAGAGTCTGCAGCTCCTCAGGGAGGTTTGGGAGGGGGTGCAGAGCGGAAATGATCCGAGATGCTCAGCACTGCTTTTCTTTGGGAAGCCAGGCCTTCCCCATCACTTGGGAGGGCCTCCCATGCCTGGTGCTCCCAGTGGGGGCAGTCCCGCCCTCCCTGCCATCCTGGCCCACCTGGGACATGCCCTCCATGTCCAGCTGCATCAGTTCTGTCTGGTTCACCTGTAGTAGTGCGAGGCCCACCCGGAACACAATTTCCAGCCCCTGCAAAGGAAGCGCAGGTCTGTGAGGTCCTGCCTCTCAGGGTGCTTAGAGCCCTCTTCAGGTGCCAGCCCTTCCTCCGCCCAGTTGGTAAGTCAGGCAGGATTCACTTCCAGGGCACTCTGGTGGAGGTGCCTTGTGGGAACCTCACCTCATACATGAAGATATCAAAGACACGGGTGGCAACAGGCAGGGGGAAGGTGGTGAGGAAGAGTGTGAGGAACCAGGATGAGGCGTACATAGACGTGTGGAAGCTCTGCGAGCGGAAGTGGGTGTTTAGGTCTGGTAGCTGCTCCTGTGGGGAGAGGGGAGGCCAGGGGGGCACAGTGAGAGGGTGTTGGGCACAGCTGTCCATATCCACCCAGGGGTGATGGATCTTGATGCCCCTGCCTCTAGGGAGCCTTTCCAGACCTGCCCTGGACAGACCATTAGTTTCTTCCTTGGTGCTCCCTTGGGATTATGTTTGGGGGAGGCTGAGGTATCCCAGAGCTTTGAGCAGCATGGGATGGTAGGGCCAGAGCCATGGCAGCCACAGTGTGTTGGGTGCCCACCCTGGGCACCCTGGGCAGGTGTTGATCCAACTGCTTGACTTGCAGCAAGTCATAGGGTCTTCTTGACTGACCCAAAGGGAGTTTGTGGGGCTCAAGCAGGTTAGGTTGTCCCCCACCCCAAAGCCAACGAAAGAGTAAGAGGTGGAGCCCATTGCCCTTAGTCAGAGCCCATCACAGGTCACTCTGTGGTACATGATTTTCTAGGGCTGTGCCCACCCATGGCCCCCAGCGGGAAGCCCTGAGCACAGTGGTGCTCTGGGATGCCTGTTTGATGGGCCTCAACTTCTGACTGCTGTAAAGTGGCACCACTGGGGAACTGAGGCTGGAGAAGGTGTTAGGAACCTGGCTTTTCTCCTGAAGCCAAGAGCTCTCTGTGCCCTAGGCTTACATGTCTGCTTGGCTATGGGAGGTCTTGGTTACTCAGCTTGGGCTGGGGGTCGCTTCTCCACAGGCCCTGGGTCCCCTGCTTGTGGCAGTACCAGACCCGCTGAAGCCACAACACCTTCTGTCTCTCAGGCCCCAGGACGGGTACTCACTGACTCCACAGCCCCTTGCTTCTGTAGCAGGTGGTGTGTGTAAGTGTGGTGCATGTGTGCATGTTTGTGTTTGTGTGAGCACTCGGCGGGGAACACCATGGCTCTGTGTGCCAGCCAGGAGCAGGCCCTGCGGGGGCTGCTATTTATAAACAGAGACGTCTGAGGCTCCCTGGTAATCAGCAGCGGCAAGCAGACAACACTTTCCCTCCCTTCACCACACCCGGAGCACACAGGGAGGGGGCCGCGGGTGTGTCTGATGCAGCCCGCCCTGCCCTCTCCGCCTTGGTGGTGCCCTCAGTGGAAGTGAGGACAGGAGCCCCTTTCTGGGCGGGTACTTCCAAGCTGATTTCTCAGACATGGAATTTTTATTCTAGGAGACTCCTGGGGACAGCCTAGGGTGACCTCTCAGGGAATCAGCCTCCTTGTCCTGCTCACCTGCAGCATGTACTCGAACTGGTAGATGCATAGCCCCAACTCGGCCATGCTGGGCTTGAAGAGCTCCCGCAGCCGGTACTCCTGCATCAGTCGCACGAACACGCAGAAGGCCTCTTCCTCAGGCATCTGGGGGACAGGCAGGGAGGGAGAGGGCCATGCTCACGGCTCTTGGCAGGGCCCAGTGGCCATTTCTTTCTGCTTACATGTATCTAATACTGGCTGTACCTGGACTCTCCTGACAAGGCATTGGTAAATATGGTCACCACTGTTTTACTGATGGAAAACCTGAGGCTGAAGTCACTTGTTGAGGGCCACTGGCAGGAAACCATGGAGCTGGAACTTGAACCAAGGTCTGGCTGCTGCCAGAGCCCAGTCTCATCTGTCCAGTTGAGATGCCTGTCCACTCCTGCTGTCTCTCTTATCTCCATCCTAAGCCCTCTGATTTCTCTGTAGGAAACTTCCAGGTCTTATAAACACCAAAGTCCCTGGCCTGAGGTCCCTCCATGTCCAACCCTGGCAGCTGCCCTTGTAGCCTTGTCCCTGCCCTGGATGGCATAGCATCAGGATCCAGCTAGGACCAATGCCCAGTCCCTCTGTTTCCTTCCATGGGGGTTTGGTCTGCCACTGTCAGGGGTCACAGTGAGGCATACAGAGAAGGAACAGTGACTTTAGGAGACTGGATGGAGGGAGTACCCTGCTTGTGTGCACCTCCTGGGGATGGAGCCCAAGACACCTACCTGCATGAGGAGCAGGCCCACGATGAAGGCGCTACCCTGGCAGTAGCCTACCTCCCGGTCTACCAGAGAGTACGCCTGGAAGGAAATGATGGAATGTGAGCAGGCACAGGTGGGATGACTGCTCAGGTGACCGGGGGGCCATAGTAACTCACCTTCATGACGTTGAAGAGCACCTCCTGGCCCAGGCTGTCTTGGCCCTTGAAGAACTCATGCTCTGGGTAGGTGCGGGCAATGTCTCTGCGGATCAGCTTCTCACAGGGGGAGGACATCTTGAGCAGCTCTGAGTACTGGTTCTTGACGGGCATGTCTGTGGCACTGCACAGGAGCTGCCACACAATGGCCCGGAAGTGGTGCGGGATGCCCTTGCGGATCAGTTCCTGTCTCGGGGAGGGGTGGGAGTGGGAGGCCAGGGCTGGACTCTGCCCTGTGCACTGCAGCCTCCCCATGGCCACCCAGTCTACCCCTCAGGCTGTGGCTTGCCCACACCTCTCCTGTGGCACAGATGAGGTCTGGGCCACTGTGTTGTAGCTAGATAGCCTGTGGTGCTTAGTGGGTGACCCTGCACCCTTCAGGGACATCAAGGGCAATAGAAAGCAAACAGCTCCCATGGGTACTGGGGCCTATCTGGCCTCACCCCTCACTCTCTCCTGTTCCCATGCCCTATGTGTATTTTTACTTCTGCCCCTGCCCAGTAGCCAAGTGACCATGTTGACCACTTGTGCTGGCCACCCTGCCAGCCGGTCTTGCCCGGCCGACCCTGCCACCTTGAGCAGCTTCTCCTTCCGGCGCCGCCATTCCTCCCACTCATTGGCGATGCGGCCCCACAGGATCCATGTGTCCTCCTCCAGGTGGCTCAGGTTGGAGGAGGCTGAGGAACTGGACACCAGTGAGGAGCCGCTATTCCTTCGAGAGCCATTCATGGAGCGCATTGACTTGGAGTCTGCTTCCAGGAGCCTGGGCAGGAAGGACAGGGGTAGGGGAAGAGGCAAAGAGGGGCTCTATTGACTCTCTGGGGACAGGAGGCTTAGGGGGAAGCCAGCTCCTCCTCCTGGGGTCTCACAGGACACTGGGAGACCGGGTCCATATCATTCTTGCTGAAGAGGTTAGAGCCAGTGACCTAACCTCTTTAAGCCACAGTTCTCCTTCATTGGTGCCTCAGAGAGGCTTCCATTGTGTGTGCCCATACTGGGCTGAGGACCATGTGCATTTGCATCATTTAACTCTCTGACCAATCCTGCGAGGCAGGTTTGGGGATGTTTGAGACTTTATGAAGGGGATCAGAGAGCAAGCCCTGGCTGAGGACACCCACCTAGCAAGGGCTATATACTATGTGTTTCATGTTTCTCTTTTCTCTCTTTCTTTCTTTCTTTCCTTCCTTCCTTCCTTCCTTCCCTCCTTCCCTCCCTCCCTCCCTCCCTCCCTCCTTCCTTCCCTCCCTCCCTCCCTCCCTCCCTCCTTCCTTCCTTCCTTCCTTCCTTCCTTCCTTCCTTCCTTCTTTCCCTAGAACTCACCATCCTCTGCCTCACTCTCTCAAGTGCTGGGATTACAGATGTGTACCACCATGCTTTGCTTTGACAACTCGGCTTTGTGGATTCTGCAGGGAAGGACAGAAGGTCCTTCCCAGGGCTAGCCAGTCCTACAGATAGCAAAGTACCTTTCTGTCCTCAAGTGCACTTTTCATATGCAAATCAACGAATCCAACGCCCACATTCCAACCATTTCCTCATCAGACTTTTACTACCTACCTGCCTGTACCCAGGGCCAGGTACTGGCCAACTATGGACAGCCCCTATGTCTGTAACCTGCTGAAATGCTTCAAACCAGTGATTTTTTTTTTAAAACAATACTGGAGTTTGAACTCAGGGCCTCATACTTGCTAGGCAGGTGCTCTACCACTTGAGCCACTCTGACAGCCATTTTTGTGTTATTTTTTTCGAGATAGGGTCTTGTGAACTATTTGCCAGGGCTGGCTTCGAACCACGATTCTTCTAATTTCTGCCTCCCAAGTAGCTAGGATTACAGGTGTGAGCTGCCACCAGCACCAGGCTCAAACCAGTGAATCTTTTTTCTTCCCCCCTTCCCCTGCCCCGCCCCCAGGGCTGGCTTTATTTATTTTTAATTTTAATTTTGTTTTATCATTTTTATATTTACTTACATATGCATACATTATTTGGCCAACCCCCACCCTCCAAAACCAGTGAATCTTAAGCCTGCTTACCCTGCCTTGCCCATTACTTCCTGTGGAAACCACTGTAAAGACTTGCCCACATTTTCCCCACGTTTCCTCTACCTTCTGACTGGCCCTGTGTGGGGTGGTCTGCACTGCTCCTCTTAGAAACTGAGTAACAAGGTATCTTTCCAGTGGCAGTGTTCTCTTGTCCATATCTGAGCATTGGTAAAAACCTACATTCTGGGCTGGGGGGTGTGTGACTCAGTGGTAGAGAGCTTGGCTTTGGGATCCATCCCCAGCACCACATATAAAGCTGAAAACAACAAACAAACAAATCTAACCCCCCTCCTAACCACCACCCCCACCAAACAACCCTACATTCTAAGACAAGGGCAGAGGGCTTTAACCACTTCCTTCAAAATTGGCTCAAATTCACTAGATCTCTAGAAACCTAAGTCTCCAAATCTGAGGAAGGGCACTGATATGTTTGACCCTGGGGTTGGAGGATGAAAAGAGATGCCTTTTGTCAGAATGTCGTGGTAGTTATTATCTTGCCTAGCTCTGAGTGGCAAGGGGGCTTGAAATTTCTGCCAGGGGCTCAGGCTATACCCTGAGGCCCTGCCCTGGTCCCCAGACCCCACACTTACCGGTTCTGCTCTTCGAGCTTGGCCAGCAGCTCCAACTCATCAGGGCTGAGGTTCTCAGAGTCAGAGGTGGGGGAGCAGGTGGGGGCTGACAGGGCCTCCTGGGACGAGGAGTCGGGGCTCAGAGTGGGGCTCGCCATGCTGTATAGGCTAATTAGCCACGAGTGGGGTCGGGTCACAGCTCTATCTGGAGGCCAGAGATGCAAGTGGTCAGCATTGGGCCAGCTGATCCTGACCGTCTTCAGAACGCTTCCTTAACCCCAGACTTCCCACTTCTGGTACACCCCTTGGTGCGCCATAGTCCCCACAAGCTCCAGCCCAGCCCACAGCCATAGTGGATCGTTCTCCAGACCCTGGCTATAAGTATCTCTACCAGCTGTCTGGATGGGGACAGAAGGACCTGGCTGTCCCTGGGCATGAAGGCCAAGGCTCATCTCCACATCCTGCATCTGTAGCAGGGCTTGGGGCAGAGCCTTCCTGTCACTGACCCTATAGGGACCTTGGGGTGCGGAAACCCGTTTCAGTGGCCCTGTCTGATGGTGTGGTCCCTTGTCTCCTGCTGCAGCCTGCCCTGGGAATTCTGTGTCAGCGTCTGACCTTCCCCATTTCATCAACCAGAGTGGGCTGCTGGCACAGCCAGAGCAATTACTCTCCACTGTTAATTGTCTGGCGCTGCTGATAGCCGGAAGAGTCCTCTCTCCTTGGGTTGGGAAAGCGGCGCATCAAACTGCTGGGAATCTGTTCCCTGGCGGACATGTGGCCAGAGCTGCAGGCTCTGAAGGCCATCCTGCTCTCAGTCTGCTATATACAAGGCAAATCTCATCTACTCTTCCTGGGGTGGTCTGCCCCACCTTTCTGGGGGCTTTGAGGACACTGGCTTCTCCTCTTCTGCCAGTCTGATGGGAGGCAGATCACCACCATATCAAAAACAAAGGCTCCTGGTTCAAGCCTGTCTGAGGCTTGGTTCCCAGCTGTATGACCTTGGGCCAGACTCTGGGCTTCTTTGGTCTCCAGAGAATGAACTCCTACAAGAACTACCTCAGAGGGTGGCTGTGAAAACTAAGCATACTATGGCATATAATGTGTTTGAAAAGTGCCTGACACTTGGTGTTTGCTCACTAGTGTTGGCCATTACTATTCATCCTGGGGCCAGGGCTGCGTCTTGCTGGGAGCCAGGGCTCCTGGGGTTTGCCATGGCCTGTGTGAGGGCTTGGGGGATTCCTGGGGTCAGAAATGTCTCTGAGTTAGGGGCCAGAGGCTGGGGGTGATGGTGTTCCTTCTGCCCAGCCATGTACTGTCTTGGTGCAGCACCCACAGTCTGAGAAGATGGGGGCACCTGGGCCCATGGAGTCAGGAGAAGTCTCTACTCCAGCCTCACTTCATCACACAGCACTTTCATGCCTGCCCACCCTACAGCACGTTCTGTACTAGCAGTCTGTTCTGTCTCCCTGGACCCCACCTTATCTGGCTCTGATGGCTAGGCCACAGAGGGGAACATGCTGGGTCCCTGGAGGTGGGGGCATCAGGTTTCCTAGGCAGTAGGGAATCCGTGACAGGACGAAGCAGACCACTTTACACTGTCCCGGTCATTCTCAGGTCATTGAGCTCCTTCTTATAGCCCCAACTCAGACTCCAACCAACACTCGAGGGGCCTCAGATTGGCTGGACTTTACCCTGACCATGCACTTGATTCCAGTCCTCCCTCAGGTATTGCCCTATTATGGGGTGGGGGTTGGGGATGCACACTCTTTTTCACTTTGCAGCAAGCACAGAACCCTCCCTTTTCAGGACTGTGGCTCACTAGGGCTAATGATTTTACTCCAGCCTAAAGTCTGTTGGGTGTTGAGGGCTCTGGCTTTTGGTGAGTGTTAGGCTCTTATCCACTGCCCAGTTGGTCCAGACAATCTGCCTCAAAGGCTATGAGGCCATGCACAGCCTAGCCAGGAGTTAATCATTCTTGAGAGAGGGACAGTGGGGGCTGCTCCAGGGCCTCCTGCAGAGTCAAAGTCTGCAGCTAGCCAGGCCCGGACCATCAGGGCTGTGGACAAGAAATGTTGGATCTTTCTAGGCAGGGAGAGGCTATGAAGGCAGCTTCAGAACTGTGAGAACAGGGAGGAGATAGTGGTCTCAAACCCCTGCTGGATTTAGGTGGTGAGAGCCCAGAGAAAGAGCGCATGTGCGCAGGGTGGTGACCTGGGGCCCCCCTGTCCCTGCTGAGCAGAGGGGACACAGCCTCGGAGAATGCTGGCCCCATCCTTGCTCCCTTAAAGAGCTGAAGAGAATGATTAAGCTCTGAGTTTCTGCTAAAAAAAAAAAAACACCCCAAAGCCCAGGGGCCACCCCCTAGCAGAGTAGTTTGTTCAGCTATTTATCACATGTTAATGTATATTTAATATAGGAAATAAATGTATTAAATACACAAGGATGAAATTTAAAGTCTGGGATGCAGGCACCTTCTAATCCTCGGGAATTTTCTCTTGACTCATCCCCAGACTCTAAATACTGCTGAGCACTGGAAACCATCCTTCTGAAGACTGTTTGTGTACACACACATAGACACACACATATACTCTCACACCCACACACAATTCTCACACACATATACATACTTCCTGATACACACATATTCATACACATTTATGCACATGTATTCTCACACACACTCAGATACATATCTCCTCACACACACACGACACACACGTATACTCAGGAATGCACACTCAGGCACACACACATGCTTATTCACACTCAGCCATGTTCTCTCATATCCATCCACTCTCACACACATACACATACTCATTCACCTCCCCCCACGTGTGCACACACATACACACTTATTCACATTCACACTTATACACACTCCCATATACTCTCACTGATGCTTGCTTGCTTTATCTCTTCCTCTGCCCTCCTTTCTTCCCCTCCTCCCTTCCTTCCTTTGAGAAAGGAGAATCTCAATATGTAGCCCAGGCTGACCTTGCACATGTTATGTAGTCTAGGCTGGTCTCAAACTTGCCATCTTCCTGCCTTAGCCCATCAAGTGCTGGGATTATAGGCATGCACAAGCCTATGGTGTAGTATGCCCTACACCATACTAACATTTTCTTATCCATGCACACACAGTGCTCTATTACACCTATTCCTATTCACAGGTTCACCTGAGCACATACACATATACTTCTTCCTACACTGTCTAGGCCTTGAAACCTTGACAACCAAGCAGGTTTGAGTTTGGGGCTTGGCTTGCTGCTGTTCTGGCCCTGTGGATAGCCCTGCTGCCCTCTCCACAATACTGTGATTCTCATGGGCTCTACCACTTGTTCCTGGCACTAACCAGGGGCTGTCTGAGGCAGAGAACATGAAATAGGAATATCTCCAGGCGGACATGCAGCCATCCCCTGTTGCTGGACAGACACAGAGATGCACAGATAAAAGCTCCAACCTCTGAGACTGGCTGACTGGCTGTGAGCATGGAGTTTCAGCCTTTCCATACCATTAACTCCAATGCTTCACCTCAGTTGCCAAAATGGGGGTCCTAGCTTCAGGGGAGGCAGTAGGTCACCTGACCCTGTTTCTGTTGGCACCAGCACCTGCCGCACTTCTATAGGGCAGCCTATGGCTTCTGAAGCAGAGCCAGGCCAGAGGAGTGGGAAGAGACAGTGCTAGTGGGCTGTGGGCTGCATGGAGGCAGAAAAGTCCAGATGCTGGGAACCTTCCACCTCTTTTTCCCTCTCCCTCTCTGGTGCATTTGAATGCTAAGGGTCACCCTTCTTCCTTTCTGAATCCCCAACTACTTGGTTAATGACATGGGCCTCTTGTTTCTCCTCCCACTTCTGTGGCCAGGACTTCTAGGTCATCTTCCTCCATAGCCTCTGCCCTTGACTTTCATCATTCAGGCCCTGGGGTTCTCACTGTCAGGGCTTAAAGGACCAAATACACGTTGGCAATTGTGAAGCCCTCATCTCCAGCTTTTCCTTTCTACTGAGCACTGGCCAAGACTGCTGACTGGTCCCCTCAGCTCCATCAGTGCCCACCGTTCACACTTCTGTGTTTCTCTCATTAGGGTAGGAATCACCATGCCCTTCTGGAGAATCTGGGGGAAGAGACCAGGAAATAGTCACACAAATTTTCTGTCACAGATCAAGATAAATGCTTGGGACAAAAGATATGGTAGGATGGAAAGGGCCAGACATTTCCTCAAAAACTTAAACATTGAGTTACCATAAGACCCAACTACAATTCTGCCAAATGGTGGAGAAATCCATCTATCCAGACATGTACGTGAAAGCTCACAGCAGCACTATTCACAATAACCAAAATGTTGAAACAACCCACCATGCCCTTCAGTGGAAGAACACAGCAATAAAACGTGGTCTACCGTATAATGCAATATTACTCAGCCACAAAACAGAATGAAGCACGGACATATGTTATAACATAGATGAACCTTAAAGAAATTATGCTCAGTGAGAGAAGCCAGACATTGAAGGTCTGGTATTTATGCTATGGGAAGCATAAAAACGAGGATTACAGTCCAGGCTGGCCTGGGAATAAAATGAGACTCTATCTCAAACATAACCAGAGCAAAAAGGGCTGGGAGTGTGGCTTAAGTGGTAGAGTGCCTACCTAACAAGCATGAGGCCCTGAGTTCAAACCGCAGTGCCACCAAAAAAAAGAAGATGAAGGATGAGGTGGGTTGCAGAGGAACCATGGGGCTGAAGCAAGGGGTGGGGGTGGGACTCTAGAGGAGATGGGAAAATTCTGCAGGGGTCAGAACCCTCCCCTGTAAGCCTACGGGCTGAGGCAGGATTTTTGAAATATCTTCATGGTCCTCCCACATGGAATGAACTCAACACTTCTGGTGAAGGAAATCTGGTCCTCCCTCTACCACAGAATCTGCCCCAGCCATAGTGCCATGTTCCGCCGACCCACCACCACAGGCCTGAATGGTCTCCTCTGTTGCAGAGTTTAGTCAAACAGGCCACCCATCTCCTCCTGCTGACTTTTCCTCTCCAGCCCTGACACCAACCACCGTCTTAAGGCCACCCTTTACTTCTTGTTTGGGTCTAGGAAACATTCTCCTTGTTGGGTGGGCTTTCTGACCATGGTCACCATAGGGCCACCAGAGCCACAGAGAAAAGCTGTTCTAGCTTGCCCCAAACTCCTTAGTGGCTCCCAATGGCAAGG